GAGGCAGAGGTAGATTCCTGTCTAGTCTTCATAAAGAGTTCCAGGTTAGCCAGGGCTACAAAAAAAGACCCCATCATTCATTAAAGAAAGAAAGAAAAGCAAAAAAAAAAAACAAAACAAAACAAAAAAAAAAACAAAAAACAAAAAACAAAAAAAAAACCTACAAACTATTAATTCAGCTTTAAAGTTATAAGAAAAACTTTCAAAAAAGTTCCTTGCTTGGTGCGGTGATGCACACCTTTAATTCTAGCAATTAAAAGGCTGAGGCAGGATAGCAAACGGGACGACAACCCGAGTAACAGACTGAGACCCTTTCTAAGAGATGCTAGGGATAAGTTCAGTACTAGAGAACTTGCCTGGCATGCTGCAAACCTTCCCAATGCCCAGGATTGCAAGGGCAGTGGGTGTTATCAGGTCAGCAAGGCGGTACACGCCTATAGCCCTTGGGAGACAGGCCAGGCTGGACTATACAGTTAGATAGAACATCCCCTTAAAAAAAATACCTACCAGGGTTGGGGATATAGCTCAGTAGTTAAGAGCCCAGGGTGCTCTCCCAGAAGACCAAGGTTTAATTTCCAGCACCCACATGGTGGTTCAGAACCTCCTATAGCTCCAGTTCCAAGAATCCAATGCCTTCTTCTAACGTCCCTGAGCATCAGGCATTCATGTGCTGCATATGCACGTGTTCAGGTAAAGCACCCATAAATTTTCAGCTGGGCATGGTGGTGCACAGCTTTAATCCCTGTACTTATGAGGCAGAAGCAGCTAGATCTCTGTGAGTTTGAGGCCAGTCTGATCTACACAGCAAGTTCCAGGACAGCCAGGACTACATAATGAGACCCTATGCAGTGGTTTGAATAGGAATGGCTCCCACGGACTCATGTGTATGAATGCTAGGTCACCAGGGAGGGCACTATTAGGAAGAGTGGCCGTGTTGGAAGAGGTGTATCACTGGAAGTGGGTTTTGGGGTTTCAAATGCTCAAGCCACTCCCAGTGTCTCTCCTCCTACTGCCTCTACAGCTACCTCCCCCGTGCCACGGCTGCCGGGTGCCAACATGTTTCCCACCATAAGGACAAGGGACTAAACTTCTGATGTTTTCCTTTGTAAGAGTTACCATGGTCATGGTGTCTCTTCACAGCAATAGAAACCCTAAGACACCATCTCAAACAAAACTAAACAAAAAAATTCTAATTTTTTTTGAAGTTCAATGTCAGATTTGGCTACACAAGACACTATCTTAAGCAAATCTAAATAGTAAAAAACTACACACACACACACACACAAATGACACAAACAAAACTTTGATAAAGATTAAAAAAAAAAATCAGAAGCCATATGTGGTGGTTTTTACCTGTAATCCCAGAACCCAGATACTGAGGCAGGTGGCTGAGTTCTAGGATAACCTGGACTATCACATTAAGACCATGACTCAAAAAAACTTTAAAAATTGGGACTGGAAAGATGGCTCAGGTTTTATGAGCACTGGCTGCTCTTCCAGAGGTTTTGAGTTCAATTCCCAGCAACCACATGGCGGCTCACATAATGAGATCTGGTGCCCTCTTTCGGCCTGCAGGCGTACATAGACAGAACACTGTATATAAAATAAATAAATCTTAAAAAAATTGTTTAAATAAACCTCTAGGTCTGGGTTGATACAGCTCAGTGCTACAGTAAGTACCTGCTTAGCATGTTCCTGGCCAAGATTCCCAGAAGTACGCAAAATAAATATATCTTAAATAACTGTATGTTCTTTATAAACCATGCTAAATACAGTAATAGTTACTGTAATAATTATTTTCTTAAAGTGAAGACAGAAAGGGAGAGGGGAAAGAGATCCAAGGCAGAGCAAGTCTTATCCAAACACTGGTCCTGAAGACATTAAGGATTCCAAGTTTCTCTCAAAGCTAAGTATCAAATGTGGTTCCCCAAATAAACACAATTTTAATTAAAATTTACAGTTTCTTGCCCCACAAATGAACCTCATCAGCTGGAATCACAGCTCAGTAGCGGAGCACTTACCCAGCATTCTAGAAGTCCTGGCTTCAGCAATACGGGGTAAGGGATATTAACGACTTTCCTAGACTGGATTCCCTTACCTGCCTCAGATTCCCCATGTCGCCGGCAGTCTCTCCTCCGGGTAACACACATTCCTTTGGTCCAATCTGAATCAGAAGGGCCTCAAGGTTGGAGAACTGGTCATTATCAGGGAACTCACACAGTCCCAGCTTCCTCTGGATGGAATCGACATACCCAACTCCGACCTGTCTCTGACCATCGACTGTGGACATCTTAACACCCACGACGCCAATGGACGATGACATGTCATTGTTACCAAAAAGAATGTCTTCAAACTGAGAAAGATTGCCAGGAGAAGCCTAAGAAAAATCAAAGCAATTTTTAAGAAATTTTGAAGATATTTAAATTTTTTGCTAGTGAATAAAATATCTAAACTTGATGAATTTTGTTCTCTTAAAAAAAACATGCCTGTCGGGGCTGGAGAGATGGCTCAGCAGTTAAGAGCACTGGCTGCTCTTCCAGAGGTCCTGAGTTCAATTCCCAGCAACCATATGGTGGCTTATAACCATCTGTAATGGGATCTGGTGCCCTCTTCTGGCCTGCGGGTAGGCATACAGGCAGAATACTATATACATAATAAATACATAAACGAATAAATAACATAAAAAAATGCTTGTCTGTATATCTTCAATTTGCTTGCGTGCGTGCATACGCACGTGTGTATGTATGTGTTTTTTTTATTTTTAATTTTATTTTATTGGTGTTTTGCCTGTATGTATGTCTGTGTGAGGGTGTTGGATCTTGGAGTTAGAGACAGTTGTGAGCTGCCATGTAGGTGCTAGGAATTGAACCAGGGTCCCCTGGAAGAGCAGTCAGTGCTCTTAACCACTGAGCCATTTCTCCAGCCCCCGCATGTATGTGGTTTTTCGAGGAAGTTTCTCTGGGTAACAGCCCTGCCTGTGCTGGAACTCACTTTGCAGACCAGGCTGGCTTCCAACTCCCAGAGATCCACCTGCCTCTGCCACCTGAGTGCTGGGATGAAAGGCCACCATGCCCAGCTGAAGTTACCATTTTCTCTCTAGATGGGCTTCCCTCGAAGCTTAGCCTGGCCTGAGAATAATGAACTGTCCTACCTTGAACACACAACACCATGCCTGGCTCCAAGTTGCTTTTGTAACTTAGACACATCTAAAAACCATTCTGCCAAGACCAGGTGTTGGTGGCGCAAGCCTTTAAACCCAGCACTAGGAGACAGGGGCAGGTTAATTTCTGAGTTCAAGGCCAGCCTGGCTGTTACACAGAGAAACCCTGTCTTGAAAAAACAAACAAAAAACAACAACAAGAAAAAAATTAAAAAAATTATTTTGCTAAAAGTGATTTTCAAACTTCTCAGCACATGAGAGTCTAAGGCAGCAGGATGACAGAGCTCAATACAAGGCCAGCCTGGGCCATGGAAAGAGGCTATCTCAAATAAATAAACAAACAAACAAATAGTAAATTTGAAAAAAATCAAAACAAAAAAATTCCAGGCTTATTTGAATCTACACCTTTAATGAGAAATATATATACAAAGACACAAATATAGTATTTATAAAAGAAAGATTAGGCCAGGAGGTAGTGGTGGCGCACGCCTTTAATCCCAACACTCGGGAGGCAGAGGCAGGCGGATCTCTGTGAGTCTGAGGCCAGCCTGGTCTATAGAACAAGTTCCAGGACAGGCAGGGTTACACAGAGAAACTGTCTCAAAAAAACAAAAACCCACTGTACCAAAATTTCTCAAAGCATTTTGTTATCATAGCCTAGTTAATATAGTAAAACATGCACTGGATTTTTTATTTTCTAAAATAAACATTGAAAAGAAATATAATTACCTTAAATGCCAAATACCAATCGTTCTCCTTGGAGGCCTTACTTCCAGCTTTATTCTTATAAACTTCAACTCTATACTGACGAATCAGAAGAAGATCTTTTACAAAAGACTCAAAATTCATTTTACTAAGCACAACACTCTGCAGTGTCTTTGCCCCTAAAACAGACAATAAATAAATACAATTAAATGTTAAAGGTGAGACGCTGAGGTAACACACGTTCGAGCGCTCCACAACAAACTGTTAAATGAACAAACACACACTACAAGCCGGGCACTAGCTACCTGAAGTCTGAGGCTGAGGGATCCCTTCAGATCAGGAGGGCAGCCTGGACTAAATAGCCAAATACTATCTCAAAACAAATAAACACAGGGCTATCTGTAGATAACTCAGTGAACTAAAGGCACTTGCCACCAAGGCGATCTTTCAATCCCTGGTACCCTGGGTGGAAGGAAGACCCAAATCCTGCATACCTAACTGCACTGTTTAAACCCATACACAGCACACAAAATAAATAAATGAATAAAAATAAATTTATGAAGGACTTTGGAGTTCTTTAAAATGAAATTGCTAGGGCTAGAGAGATGACTCAGTGTTAAGAGCACTGGCTGCTCTTCCAAAGGTCCTGAGTTCAATTCCCAGCAACCACATGGTGGCTCACAACCATCTGTAATGAGACCTGGCGCCCATTTCTGGACTGCAGGCAAACACGTAGACAAAACACTATGCACAATAAATAAATCTTTAGAACAAAATGAAATTGCTCAGGGCTGGGGTTTATGGCTCAGCATTAAAGCATTTCCCCAACAAGGGTGACTCCTGGGTTAGATTCTCAGCAACACAAAACAAACAAAACCCAGTCACTCACCGCCTGTCCACAGAACTCAGGAGCAAAGCCTCCCTTTTGCCCCTTCGCACAGCAGTTACGGTTACAGGCTACACCTTCAGTCTATACTGACCGGCAAATGGAAATCTCTGTACTTCCCTCTTACATAACCACAGTCCACACACTGTTCCGCATCACTAAGTCTAATATGTGTGGAGCCTGTTCCAACAATACATAACAGACTTTTATGTACTGGTAGACATGCATAGTGATATCCAATCTTTTCAGCATCCTGAAATACTTCATAGGAACTCTGGAAATGCTTCAAGCTCCCAATGGGTTGAATGTGATAAACTTTTATCAAATAAAATATGATGATGTTCTAAAATTCAATTTTACTACATTTATGATTATAATAAACTGCCAGGCTACACGCATCTTTTGGTTATGGGTAATCTATTTTCCTATAATCAACACAGAATTCTCAGAGGGCTGACCTGCAGTGCACACCCGACCTGCAGTGCACACCTGCTGGCCTGCAGTGCACACCCCTGACCTGCGGTGCACACCCGACCTGCAGTGCACACCCCTGACCTGCGGTGCACACCTGCTGGCCTGCAGTGCACACCCTGACCTGCGGTGCACACCTGCTGGC